TGGGAATTGACACAGTTACTTTTTGCTGATGATACTGTGCTTATGGGAGATTCTAAAGAAAAATTGCAAAGGTTAGTGGATGAGTTTGAGAATGTGTGTAAAGGTAGAAAGTTGAAAGTGAACATAGAAAAGAGTAAGGTGATGAGGGTGTCAAATGATTTAGATAAAGAAAAATTGGATATCAAATTGGAGAGGAGGAGTATGGAAGAAGTGAATGTTTTTCAGATACTTGGGAGTTGACGTGTCGGCAGATGGATTTATGAAGGATGAGGTTAATCATAGAATTGATGAGAGAAAAAAGGTGAGTGGTGCATTGAGGTATATGTGGAGTCAAAAAAACGTTATCTATGGAGGCAAAGAAGGGAATGTAAGAAAGTATAGTAGTTACCAACACTCTTATATGGGTGTGAAGCTTGGTGGTAAATGCAGCAGCGAGGAGACGGTTGGAGGCAGTGGAGATGTCCTGTTTAAGGGCAATGTGTGATGTAAAATATTATGCAGAAAATTCGGAGTGTGGAAATTAGGAAAAGGTGTGGAGTTAAAAAAAGTATTAGTCAGAGGGCCGAAGAGGGGTTGTTGAGGTGGTTTGGTCATTTAGAGAGAATGGATCAAAGTAGAATGACATGGAAAGCATATAAATCTATAGGGGAAGGAAGGCGGGGTAGGGGTCGTCCTCGAAAGGGTTGGAGAGAGGGGGTTTAAAGGGAGGTTTTGTGGGCAAGGGGCTTGGACTTCCAGCAAGCGTGCATGAGCGTGTTAGATAGGAGTGAATGAGACGAATGGTACTTGGGACCTGAGGATCTGTTGGAGTGTGAGCAGGGTAATATTTAGTGAAGGGATTCAGGGAAACGGTTATTTTATATAGTCGGACTTGAGTCCTGGAAATGGGAAGTACAATGCCTGCACTTTAAAGGAGGGGTTTGGGATATTGGCAGTTTGGAGGGATATGTTGTGTATCTTTATATGTGTATGCTTCTAAACTGTTGTATTCTGAGCACCTCTGCAAAAGCAGTGATAATGTGCGAGTGTGGTGAAAGTGTTGAATGATGATGAAAGTATTTTCTTTTTGGGGATTTTCTTTCTTTTTTTTGGGTCACCCTGCCTCGGTGGGAGACGGCCGACTTGTTGAAAAAAAAAAAATATATATTATTATTAATATTAGTACATATGTATTATTGTAATAATAATAATAATTATTATTAATATTATTATTAATTTAGGGCACTGGAGCACAGATCCACTGTATAGCACTTTGTCTGGATTTTTTGGGTTATCCTAGGTAATTTATACTATGTACAATAACTTTACTTATACGTACCTGAGAGAGAGAGAGAGATAGATATAGATAGATGGATAGGTAGATATAGATATAGATAGATATAGATATAGATAGATATAGATAGATATACAGAGAGAGACAGCCACATTCAGTCAGCCACCCACCCGGCCAGCCGGATAGGTATTACACACGTTGCAGAGTTGTTTCTCTTTACTTAGGGTATAGGTTATACTACATTCTGGCAGGATGACACTACCAGTGGTATTCTCCCATTCCAATGTGTCGACAATACATAAAGATAACAGTAACATATGATACTGTATGCGATGTAAAATTTACAATACAGTTCACTACCATGTATGCATTATATACAATACATAAATAATTAAAATACTATAACAATAAAAAGTAAATTATGGTAAAAAGAATGAAATAATGATTGTACATTACATTACAGTATTATGTAGGTAGTTTATATAGGAAACGTTTGACATTATGCCCTACCCAGTATGTCGGCAATTTTCCAAGGTTCGACTTTTGTCCATTTTGACTTTTGACCAGTTGGCCGGAACCAAGCTTGGTCGTAAGTCGGATGGTACCTGTATTGGCATCATGAGTAGAGAGACTTAGTGATTTTAATGTGTACCTGCACACCAGCACAGTGTGTAAGTATATTTAGGTACAGGTACATTTTTTTTTTCTCAACAAGTCGGCCGTCTCCCACCGAGGCAGGGTGACCCAAAAAAGAAAGAAAATCCAAATTCATCCAAAATACCAAATTCATCCACCAATCTCTGCAACTTCTCTTCAGAATCTCCCAAGAGCACAGTGTCATCAGCAAAGAGCAGCTGTGACAACTCCCACTTTGTGTGTGATTCTTTATCTTTTAACTCCACGCCTCTTGCCAAGACCCTCGCATTTACTTCTCTTACAACCCCATCTATAAATATATTAAACAACCACGGTGACATCACACATCCTTGTCTAAGGCCTACTTTTACTGGGAAATAATTTCCCTCTTTCCTACATACTCTAACTTGAGCCTCACTATCCTCGAAAAAACTCTTCACTGCTTTCAGTAACCTACCTCCTACACCTACATTGAAACATCTGCCACATTGCCCCCCTACCCCACCCTGTCATACGCCTTTCCAAATCCATAAATGTCACAAAGACCTCTTTAGCCTTATCTAAATACTGTTCACTTTATGTTTCACTGTAAACACCTGGTCCACACACCCCTCCCTTTCCTAAAGCCTCCTTGTTCATCTGCTATCCTATTTGGGTTCTTACTTTTTATTCTTTCAATAAAAACCCCTACCATACACTTTCCCAGGTATACTCAGCAGACTTATCCCCCTATAATTTTTGCACTCTCTTTTACCCCCTTTGCCTTTATACAAGGAACTATGCATGCTCTCTGCCAATCCCTAGGTACCTTACCCTCTTCCTTTACATTTATTAAATAATTGCACCAACCACCCCAAAACTATATCCCCACCTGCTTTTAACATTCTATCTTTATCCCATCAACCCCGGCTGCCTTACCCCCTTTTCATTTTACCTACTGCCTCACGAACTTCCCCACACTCACAAACTGGCTCTTCCTCACTCCTACAAGATGTTATTCCTCCTTGTCCTATACACGAAATCACAGCTTCCCTATTTTCTCATCAACATTTAACAATTCCTCAAAATATTCCCTCCATTTCCCAATACCTCTAACTCCCCTTTTTAAATAACTCTCCTCCCCTATTTTTAACTGACAATCCATTTGTTCTCAAGGTTTTCTTAACTTGTTAATCTCACTCCAAAACTTTTTTTATTTTCAACAAAATTTGTTGATAACATCTCATCCACTCTCTCATTTGCTCTCTTTTTACTTTGTTCACCAAACTCTCTTACCTCTCTCTTTTTCTCCTTTATACTCTTCCCCCCTTTGGGCATCACTTCTACTTTGTAACAACTTCTCATATGCTAACTTTTTCTCCCTTACTACTCTCTTTACATCATCATTCCCCCAAACGCTCCTCTTCCCTCCCGCACCCACTTTCCTGAAACCACAAAACTTCTGCTAAAACACTCTAACACTTCTTTTTTAAAACCCTACCCATACCTCTTTGACCCCTTTCCCTATGCTCCCCTTTTAGCCCATCTATCCTCCAATAGCTGTTTATATCTTACCCTAACTGCCTCCTCGTTTAGTTTATAAACTTACCTCTCTCTTCCCTGATGCTTCTTTTCTCCTTGTATCCCATTCCCTTTTATCTCAGTGTAGCTACAACTAGAAGTGATCTGATATTTTCTGTGGCCCCTCTATAAACATGTACATCCTGAAGTCTACTCAACAGTCTTTTATCTACCAATACATAATCAAAAAACTACTGTCATTTCGCCCTACATCATATCTTGTATACTTATTTATCCTCTTTTTCTTAAAATATGTTTACCTTAACTAAACCCTTTCTATACAAAGTTCAATCAAAGGGCTCCCATTATAAATTTACATCTGGCACCCCAAACTTACCTACCACACCCTCTCTAAAAGTTTCTCCTACTTTAGCATTCAGGTCCCCTACCACAATTACTCTCTCAATTGGTTCAAAGGCTCCTATACATTCACTTAACATTCCCAAATCTCTCTCTCTCCTCTGCATTCCTCTCTTCTCCAGGTGAATAAAACGCTTATTATGACCCACTTCTCGCATCCAACCTTACTTTAAACCCACATTAATTCTTGAATTTTACACATTCTTATTCTCTTTTTCCTTCCATAACTGATCATTTAACATTACTGCTACCCTTCCTTTGCTCTAACTCTCTCAGATACTCCAGATTTAATCCCATTTATTTCCCCCCACTGAAACTCCCTACCCCTTCAGCTTTGTTTCGCTTGGGCCAGGACATCCAATTCTTTTCATTCATAACATCAGCATCATCTGTTTCTTGTCATCCACACTACATCCACGCACATTTTAAGCATCCCATTTTTTATAAAGTTTTTCTTCTTCTCTTTTTTAGTAAAGGGTCTACGGAGAAGGGGTTACTAGCCCATTGCCCCCAGCATTTTAGTCGCCTCATTCGACAGCATGGTTACGGAGGAAAGATTCTTTTCCACTTCCCCATGGACAATAGAAGAAATAAAGAAGAACAAGAGCTATTTAGAAAAAGGAGAAAAAAAACCTAGATGTATGTATATATATATATGCATGTGCGTGTCTGTGAAGTGTGACCAAAGTGTAAGTAGGAGTAGCAAGATATCCCTGTTATCTAGCGTGTTTATGAGACAAAAAGAAACCAGCAATCCTACCATCATGCAAAACAGTTACAGGTTTCTGTTTCACAGTCATCTGGCAGGATGGTAGTACTTCCCTGGGTGGTTGCTGTCTACCAACCTACTACCTACTACTATCTGCATAAAAATCTTGACTTCTTTTATTACCATAACATACTCCCTGTTCCATAATTTTATTCATGTAGAGCACAACTGGAGCTTCACCAGGCTTCATTTTTCATATCTTCTTCACTATTTTTAGCAGCAATGCTGTTTCCTTTAATACATGGCTATATTGTAGGCCTACAAGTGCTATTTTAGCTCTAAATAGATATGATTAAATGGCAAACTCAATCACTTTTTCAGATTATTTGATGGATAATAAATCTATTGTCAACCTATTATCAGAAATGAACATCAAGAAGTCAAAGACTTGTATTTTTTTAGGTACAATTTGGACCCCTTTGAAGAGCACTCAGATGATGCTGTATGGCAGGCCCTTGAACGCTCCCACTTGAAGGGCTTCGTACAACATCAGGAACATGGTCTCTTGTCCAAGGTGGAAGCTGCAGGGGAGAACTTCTCTGTAGGAGAGCGACAGCTTATCTGCCTTACCAGAGCCTTACTCAGGAATAGTAAGGTAATTAACACTAGTTTGGATACTGTAGTAAATTTTACTTATGAATGATAAGGTAATACCTGGAGATACCTGGAGAGGGTTTTGGGGGTCAGTGCCCCCATGGCCCTGTCTGTGACCAGGCCTCATGATGTATTGGTCTGATCAACCAGGCTGTTACTGTTGGCCGCATGTAAACTGATGTATGAACCACAGACCGGCTGATCAGGTACGGACTTTAGGTGCCTGTCCAGAGCCTTCTTGAAGACAGCCAGGGGTCTATTGTTAATCCCCCTTATGTATGCTGCGAAGCAATTTAGCAGTCTTGGGCCCCTGACACTTACTGTGTTGTCTCTTATCCTGCTAGTGGCACCCCTGCTTTTCATTGGGGGATATTGCATCACCTACCGAGTCTTTTGCTTTCATAGGGAGTGATTTTTGTGTGCAAATTTGGTACTAATTCCTCTAGGATTTTCCAGGCGTATATAATCGGGTATCTCTCCTGCCTGCATTCCAGAGAATAAAAGTCAAGGAACTTCAACCATTCCCAGTAATTTAAGTGTATTATCGTACTTATGTGTGCTGTGAAGGTTCTCTGTACATTTTCTAGGTCAGCAATTTCACCTGCCTTGAAAGGCGCTGTTTGTGTGCAGCAATATTCCAGCCTAGATAGAACATGTACTGTAGAATGTTTCACCACTTAATTTTATGTGCCAAATACTATGACACCTTAAACATGTGCAACTATGCAGTTAAAAATTTGTAAGGTTCATTAATATTTAAGTATCAAACCATGAACACAGGATGACAGTACTGTGCTGCTGGAGACCTTACCTATGGCACCACTCATGTTGTTCCTGTGACCCTGCAAGCAGTATCAACAGGCACTCTTAAGTATCAATAGTGGAAGGATCATTTGAATTGTAATGTCATTGCACTTCTGGCAAGATAGCTGTTAAATAAGTGATAGTGAATGTGTTTCTTTGGAACACCTTGCCTTGGTGGAAAATGGCTTTTGTAAACAATATTTGCCACTGTATAGCATCAGTTTGGTAATTTTTTTTTTTCAGATTCTTTTGTTAGATGAAGCAACAGCATCTGTTGATGTAGAAACAGATCACCTAATTCAAGCTACTATAAGAGAAGCATTTGCCAAAAATACTGTTCTTACCATTGCTCATAGACTCAACACAGTGGCTAACTATGACAGAGTAATGGTCCTTGACAAAGGAAAGGTAAGACACCGCCTTTATTGTTACTCATTTTTCTTCCCTAGGTAGAGAACTGTAAATGTTTAGCTTTTCCAAAACATTTTTGGATTATGTACAAAAGTCATACCTGTAGTGTGTAAAAGCAATTTAAAATTCAATGAATATCCATCTTGCTTATTAGGTATTCCTCACAGAATGATGTGATATCCTCTAATGTTTAGTGTCCTGTAGCAAATTTTTGGCACTTGAAAGAACTTATTTGATATTCTTGGCCATGTATATAAATTTATTTTAGCTGGGATTAAAAAAAATAAAAATTAGCTTACTGAATGCATTTGAAGCTTAATTACTGAATACTTTAATTAGCCCTATACATACAGTTTAATTCCATAAACTTTAGAATTTTAAGAAAATTTCTTTTTATTAATCTCAGTTTAATTAAATTAAACTCTTTAATGAGAATGTGTAAAGTTAATTATCTTTTTATATTGTATATTAGTGAGAAACATTTAAGTTTTACAGTGGTAAATAAAATTTTAGGAATGATTATTCCAGTGTACTGTATTGTAGCTGGTGTATAAGAGGTCTTAATTTAGAGTTTTTTTTAAGAATTTGCATTAAAATATTGAACCCTATTTCTTCATCTTATGAGTTCTGATGACCCCTAGAATACACTCAGTCTCTTGCTCACACAGAGTACAAGCCTAGTGGTAAAAATTGGGTATTCCACTCAGTAATCGATATTTATTCTGGCAGCCTAGCTTGTCACCAGTGGGAAGCATTTATGAAGGTATAATTCCAGTAAGCAACCTTATGAATCCCACTATAAGAACATCCTCCTGCAATTGCAATTTTTGTTTTGACATTTGCTTGCCTCAATTCATACCCATAACATATCCTGCTTGTGATAGTTAGTCTCCAGTGCTATATTTGTGATTTATTTTCAGATTAATGCAACACTTAATAACCTAATAATTTGGCACTTTTTGTGATTGGCTATTTTTGATTACCTATTTGTAATTAGAGGAACAGAGCTTTACTCATGGTGCACATCACGGTATTTGTTTATCATCTACTGATTGTAGCACATTGCTCAGAATTTATCGCCTCTGGCCATCTGATCTCATTTGACTAGATCTGTTGCTGCATTTTAGCCCCTTTAGTTTAAAATTCTTTTGATATTCTTGTGGAATCCCTTGGTTTCTTGGGTGATTCTGCATTTGCTAGACAATTATTATATCCACAAAAAGTTAAACTATTACTGGAGACACTGTACCAGTCTTTGTCTCTTTTTCCACAATGCATATTCCCAGGCTACTGCACACAAATACAGCCTCTCCTCACTTAACAATGGAGTTCCATTCCTATGACCATGTCTGTAAATGAATTCATTGCTAAGTGAGGAGCATACTACAATGGTAGCAGGTTTATATCAACCATCTTTGATATTGTTTTAATGTCACCTTTTCACCATTTATAACATTTCTGGTATATTCTTAAATGTTTAGACAGTAGTGTACTGTATATTGTAATAAACAGAATAGAGGAAATCAGCTCTAATATTTAGGTATGCATACTGCTCAGAGAGACTGTTGTAAGTCCGAGTCGTCGGTAAACGAGCAAGTCGCTAAATGAGGAGAAGCTGCATTGTAATGAACAAAATAGAGGAAATCAGCTCTAATTACATTATGTGGGTATGCATACTGGTCAGAGAGCCCGTCGATTAACAAGTATGTCACTAAGTGAGGCGAGGCTGTATTTTAAAACACACCCATGTTGAGGGTGTACGTGTGTCAAATTCATTCAGTAAATGGACATAAAGGCATATGATACCAACAGTTAGTGTAGAAAGACACAAAATTCATCACTAGGACATGTTTATTGGAAACCGTTAGGTGCTGGGATTTTGATACGTGGAGTGGCCATGGTTCCAGGGCAAAAACGGTTTCAGTAAACAATGCCCTAGTGATTGCATTTTGCGCCTTTCTTCATTCAGTGTATGTAGCTGCAAGTTCCTAGATGTAAATACTCTGTCCACTGTGGCTATCGAATCAACCTCTTGCATACTGTTCCATTGTTCTATTACAGTTAGAAAGAAAATTAACTAGTAACCTTCATGTAGCTCTTCTTCCTAATGGTAGTTTATACCACATTTTCTGGCATGTAAGGCAAACCTTTCCCCAACAAAGTCATGATAAATCACCCTGTACCTTGTATACTCAGTGTCAGGGTCAAAGATATCCTTTCGGTTATTCTTTAGCGTAAAGTAAGAGGGTAATTAGCCCTTGAATATGATTATCGATTTACTGTTAGGATACTTCTGACGTGGGCCTTCATTTGCCGGAAAATATGGTAGTTATTACCAATGTTAAGGTGCAAGTAGGCTAAATTCAATAATTGTAATTGCCTTTATAAAATTAAACACAAAATTTGTTATTGTGCTTTTAAGAGCAGGAAAATTTTATGTTCTGATTCTTGGTATCTTTCAGGTTCACGAGTTTGATACTCCAGAGACGCTGATGGGTACTGAAGGGTCAGTATTCAGAGAGATGATGCAGGCAATGGGTGTTTCCACAGTAGAACAAATGCAGGCACTAAACTAATACTTTTCCAGCTGCAAATTATATGTAGTGATTTTTCTACAGTGGTACTATACCCAGTTCATTTCCAAAATCATGTAGCTGTTGTAGGCTCTGAATGAATAATATATACAGTACAATATTTTAAATAAATTTATTTTTTAGGTTAGCATGATTGTTAGTTTTGTGTACATGAAGAAAATAACTCTTATTTACATATAATACTGTCTGCCAAAATGAGTGAAATATTTTAGAATGAAAAACAGTGTATGCTTATGATCTGGCATTAGTATAAGTTAGATCGTTATCATAGCATTTTTTCCTTAGTAACTCTTTTAAGGTATGGCTAATAAGTACCAAGGAATGTGTTAAAATTTTCATTTCATTGAATAATTCCTTCACAGTTATATTTTCATAATGTTTTATTGCACATGACCATCATAGTTTCTTGAATGATCCCATTTTATCATTGTAGCATTTATTTATATGGCAGAATGTCTCAGACCAATCTAGTTTAAAGTTCTCTACTGGGAGAGTGTATACAACTGCATTAGCTTGGAACATTACTTTGAAACAAGTGAAAGAACAAAGCTGTCTTTAGTGAGAGAGAGATGCTGTGAATTTCTTTTTGTAAAATATATCACCCGGGATTGGGTGATACATTAGGTATCACATGCTTGGGCATGTTGTACCTAAACATGTAATAGGTGCAGATTTAACATTTCAGTAGGCCTATTTGCCTATACTTGGCTTAATACATGTTATGAGAAGGGACAAAGTAAACATTCCATTGTTTTGTTAAATAACTAATGATTCTAGGCATCTTCTAAGTTTGTAGATGAATGGTTCAGAGAACCGACATGTTGATAAATTAGACACATGTGCAACTCTTGGGTATCTTTATTGAGGAAACGTTTCGCCACACAATGGCTTCATCAGTCCATACAAAGGAGAATCTTGAAGAACAGGAAGAGAATGAGGTAATCAGTCCCTCAACCTTGAGTCGATGTGTTCAGTCCATCAATCTTGAATAGAATACGGCATACGTGCGGAGAAGGAGCTTATAAACCGTTGGCAGGAGAGGTGCAGCAGTCATAGGTAGTGTCACATTTGTTCAATGTGGAAGTAGGTCGTGCCCAAGAATTAGGCAAGCGAAGAATTCCCAAGTATTAAGATCCCAAGAAGTTGCAGTGTCTGACAGGTTTGTAGATGAATGGTTCAGAGAACCGACATGTTGATAAATTAGACACATGTGCAACTCTTGGGTATCTTTATTGAGGAAACGTTTTGCCACACAGTGGCTTCATCAGTCCATACAAAGGAGAATCTTGAAGAACAGGAGGAGAATGAGGTAATCAGTCCCTCAACCTTGAGTCAATTGATGGACTGAACACATCGACTCAAGGTTGAGGGACTGAGTACCTCATTCTCCTCCTGTTCTTCAAGATTCTCCTTTGTATGGACTGATGAAGCCACTGTGTGGCGAAACGTTTCCTCAATAAAGATACCCAAGAGTTGCACATGTGTCTAATTTATCAACGTGTCGGTTCTCTGAACCATTCATCTACAAACCTGTCAGACACTGCAACTTCTTGGGATCTTAATACTTGGGAATTCTTTGCTTGCCTAATTCTTGGGCACGACCTACTTCCACATTGAACAAATGTGACACTACCTATGACTGCTGCACCTCTCCTGCCAACGGTTTATAAGCTCCTTCTCCGCACGTATGCCGTATTCTATTCAAGATTGATGGACTGAACACATCGACTCAAGGTTGAGGGACTGATTACCTCATTCTCCTCCTGTTCTTCAAGATTCTCCTTTGTATGGCCTGATGAAGCCACTGTGTGGCGAAACGTTTCCTCAATAAAGATACCCAAGAGTTGCACATGTGTCTAATTTATCAACATCTTCTAAGTTTGTTATGTTCCTAGTGCAGTAGTTTGGCTTTGTCCCATGCCATGAGGTATGAATGCAGGTTGTGATGTTGCATACATGTGTTATTGATGTTATTTGTCTTGTAGATGAGCACTTAGACCTCCAGGTGTCTTGCCACTGTATACCTGGTCACAACCATGAAATGGAATTTTGTACACCCCTGCATTTTTAGATCTGGAGTATGTCACTGAGGTCCTTGTGAAGTCCTATATGGTTTTTGTAATATAGCAAAGTCAGTGCTGAATTTTTGAAGGATGGGGGAATACAGCATGACTACCTGTGGGTAATATATGTTTCCATGTGTTGTTTTCCTGGCTCCTGGCATAGCGGTGTATCTCTTCAGCTTTGCACTTAGTTAAATTACAGGGAGAAGGGGAGGGTTAACTCAAGGCTTGTGAAGGTGTTGTTAATATAGTTATGTTCCCTTTTTTAGGAATTCTTCACTTTCTTGATTTTTAAACTGTAATGGGATAATATAGGGATGAAGTCATCATTGTTGGTAGGTTTGTTTATTGCCTGTTTCAAGATACTGTCTGGTTAATGTGTCTTGATATAAACAGTTGACCATAAACTTATCAAAGACAACCTCATCCATGTCCATTCCCACCAAAGTTTAAGAACCAAAAAAGGAATATTGATCTGATTTTTCCCATGGGGCATTGAGAATCTACAGTGAAGAATTCCTGGAAAATCAACTTAACTTTACTAAGAACACCTAAACAAGCCTCAGGTTTTCCCTCACACATGAATCTGTTCTGTAAGCACAAAGCTGAAGAGATACACTGCAAAGCCAGGAGTCAGAGAAGAGCAAATGGAGATACATATTATGCACAGGTACTGTCACAGACAGCAAATCTTCCATCCTTCAGAAATATAGTAGTGATATTCTCTAATTGCTACAAAAACCATAGAGAACTTAACAAGTACTTCTATACCATACAGTGAGTGCAAAGATACAAGGGTGTATTAGGCTGTGTGGTGGTTGTGGCCAGGTATACATTGGCAAAACAGCTAGAGGACTAGTCAGTTTACAGGAGAACAGGTATGCTCTTAGAACAGACATCAACTATGTCTGCATGCAACATTGCAACTCATTCACACCTTCTGGCATGGGACAAATCCAGGCTACAAATTAAAAAGATACCTAAATTTTTTTATTAAACTAACCAACACAACCAATCAAAACAATAGGATATTTACCTTGTCCCCTTCCACAGAGCATATCATATTTAACTGAGAATGGGCCAGTAAGCCTCTTGCAGTGCCCCATCAGCATCTGAGTAACAACTCATATCCAGTGCTTGGCTGTCAACCATTGTTGGGTGACACTACATTTGTCTTTTTCACCAACTGTTGCATCTTGCTATTGTTCCCACTAAAGCCATTAATTTTATTGGTGAGCACTAAACCTATAGGGATCATACAGGGCATGGTAACTAGGAAGTAATCAGGGAAGGAGAGGGTAACTCCTTTTTTCTGGATTATGAGCATTTCACTTTTGGCAGGGTGAAAAGTTGTAAGATTCAGTATGTATTCTAAAGTGCAGGGAGTGTGAATTATTTTCCATAAACTGCATGCAAGACTGAAGGTGATATATCTATCTTATGAGAATCGTAGTGATGAGTAAATCACAATACCACGGCTGGAACCATCATAACTATCCCACTATTCAGAGAAGAAACTAAAAACATTTTTGTTTATCCTGGAACTTCAAGTTATGACTTGGGTTCAGGACAGACCAAAATGTCTAAAAGTTTATTCTCCACACTGGGGCTTACTGTAGTTGTATATCATAATGGTATTTTGCTATAGTTACTGTACATTACTACAGTACACCAGTTATGGGACTGCAAAGATTTAAGGATACATTAGAAATGAATGATCGAATGAGAGTATCACAGGTCTGGAGTAGAAATATTAGATATACAGTAGGATGGGATGTTGTGGAGTAAAATCCTAGTTAGTGTCATTGATATGAGAACTTTGGGTAGCTTTAAAAAAATAGGCTGGACAGGTACACGAGTTGGCATGGTGGGTGTTAGGCCTGCCTAGCTTGGGCCAGTAGGCCTACTTCAATACTTCATTATTTTTGTTAGATTTGAAGTAGAAATATAAGATACAGTAGGGTGGAATGAGAAGTATCAGTTTGATGTAGAAATGACAAATTGAAACACTTGTTCAAATTAATGCATGAATGTTGTGTTAGAAAGTAAATTATTCTTCTTAAGTATGTATGATGATAAGAATGAATCAGTAACAGTATTGTTGTGTCCAAGAGACTGATGTCGTGTCCAAGAGGCAGAGGTCTTGTATCTAAGAGGCTAAGATCTTGTGTCAAAGAGGCAGTTAATTTTTTTTTAAATTCAGAGAGGAAAACAAAAAAAATGGTATAGAAGGAAAGTTTACAAACAAATGAACTTCTTGTGTAGTTCATTGGAAAACAGTATAATGAAGGGCATTGAGAAAACAAGTTTACAACTATCCAAGGGAGAAAATTATAATATTCATGGAGAAGCACCAATCCCATAAGGGTAACCAAGTTTGATCCAAAGCAAGGGAGGGTTGCTCCAATCTCTTCAAGTCTTCCATGTATATAATAATTGTATTCCTTGGATCAAGAGCCCTTCACCAGCATCAGGGCAACAAGCTTGAATGGCCAAGGAAAAAATATTTTGGGTTCTTCGTAATACTCTATGTAGTGAAAATTATAGTATGGAATGTGCAGTGCAGATAATGTAAAAAAAAAATAAAAAAGAAACAATGAACTTATTGTTTTTAATAATTGGTTGCATCAAGTGAGTAGATTAAAGAAAGTTTAAACATTGCAAAAAATCCGAAAATCCATGTCATTGAGGAGATGTGTTCCATTTTTGTTTTTGCAAGGTTTATGTAGTGAAAAACTTATTCTCTTTTTCATTACCTTAATGTTGCTTTGTATGCAAGAGGTTTTAGCTGATAGTTTTAAACAGCAAAGGTAATTAATGGTGGTGTATATTTTGTTATACAATTTGTATAATGTATATTTTATTTTAAATTGCAAATGCAAAGATATTTTGTAATTTTTATACAACTGTTCATAATTCATTGAGCAATGATCATAGACTCAGGTGTAGGAACTGTGTTACACTAAACTCTGATACCATTTTCTTTGTATATTTGCTAAATGTCAGTATATACAATACGTACTATATATGTTTAGGTTAACTGCATAAAGCAGAATATAGAAAAATATATTTTGTAGTCAATGAAACATGGAAAAAAAATCTAAGATTCTCAATTCTTTAGTTTTCCTCAGTGCCTTTCTGTTTTAGGCTGCCAAACCCCTAGGAAACAAGGTACCACACACTAATGGTACCATACACTAATGTACAATGTATGTACTCTTAGTGTTAACTGTCTATTTTGGTGTAAATATTATCATACACTTGATATTTTTTTTTTTTAGTCGTAACACACGTACTTCAAATACAGTATTATTACATCTGTGTTTTTCTTTATTTTTGTATTACTACTTTTTCTCATACAGTTTCCTGATCAAAGTGTTCATATCATTTACTTTTTTCTGTGATTTAATTTTAAGTGTTATATGTTTGACCATCCAGTTTGTAGATAGAATATAGGCTTGTGTTATTCATTAGACAGCCTCCTTAGTCCAAATAGCTTAAGACTTGTTCATTATTCATCAATTAATCTTGGAGAGAAAATTATTGCTGTATTATTATATTCACAAAAGAATGCACTAAACCCATAGGGGATAATGAAGTGCTATATGGAATGGGAAAAGAATTTATAAGATATATTCTAATGTAATTTTCCCATAATTTATGTTGCTGCATTTATATAAGTTATTTTCTATATTTTTTTTTTCTCTTTTGCAAGTGTGCTTAATTTATGATTGACTTACTTTTTTAACTTTGCATGAAAAGTTAGAAAGTAGAATTTCCTTTTTTGTGATACAATATTGTATATTAAATTTCTACTAGACCATTTGCAAAATGGCATTGCACTACAACCTCAATAATCTTGCTATGTTATACTTCAGAAAGTTTTACTCCAGAACAATTATCCAACAGATTCTTTTAGAGGAAACACAGAAAGCAGTTTGCTTTTATGGGAGCTGAGAGGTACAGGTCAATACTGTACTCATTATGACAATACTGTACATGAGTGTACAATACAATAAAATATACAATTTGTAAAGTTCTCACACCTAGAAACTGCTCAACTACAAGAGTTTCAGATTACTGATGTTATATTTATTATCCAGGTTATCTTTATTAATATTTATCATAAATAAAGCATTTTTTTTTATTACCTCAATAAAAACAGTAAATAAAGGTGACACTGTAAATGTTGCCACAGAATGTGCTGTTTATATAGGTCTGTAATGTTTATAAATTTACTCTGAGGCAATACAGAGCATTTTTTGTTTTATAACTTGGCATTCATGAATTTCAGATTCGGAATTTTAAATTACGTTATACATGTAAATTATAAGTCTTCTTTCTTTCAACGCACCAGCTGTATCCCACTGAGGCGGGGTGGCCCAAAAAGAAAAACAGAAGTTTCTCGTTTTAAATTTAGTAATATATACAGGAGAAGGGGTTACTAGCCCCTTGCTCCCGCATTTTAGTCGCCTCTTACAACGCGCATAACTTACGGAGGAAGAATTCTGTTCCACTTCCCCATGGAGAATAAATTATAAGTATTTATATATAATTTTTTTTAGAGCATTACAACAATGCACTGTATTGTGAATGATAATTATACAGATATTAATAAATTCCTTTCCATTTCTTGTGTTTTCTTTTGCAAGTGAAAGTATATGTTTGATGGCAATTACAAAAACTTTATGAATGAGTTCTGAAGGTATGTGTGTAGTGTGTGTACTGTTATTTGTTAGCTATGAAAACTTGTGCTGTATGACCCTTGTGGGTTTAACCCCTTCAGGGTCCAAGGCCCAAATCTGAAGTGGTGCCCCAGTGTCCAAGAATTTTCAAAAAAAAAATTTGTTATTTTTTCTTATGAAATGGTAGAGAATCTTTTTGTGAAGGTAATAAAACAAAAAGTACGAAATTTGATGGAAAATTGACGAAATTATGCTCTCGCAAATTTTGATGTGTCAGCGATATTTACGAATCGGTGATTTTGCCGACTTTGACTCCCATTTTAGGCCAATTACATTATTCCAGTCAACCAAATTCCTAGCTATTTCACTAGTATTACTTCTATTCTACCGATTGAGCACAAGAAATCGCCAAGTCAACTGTTTCAATTACAAATTAAAGTGATCGGAAATTGTTAATTTGGGCAATTTAACACAAAGTTCAAAACATTCCAATTTCAAAATAGGGTCCAGAATAAACAATGTAGGTATTCCTGGAACTAAACTAACATTTCCTCTGTTCATTAGTTACGTTTTGAGGCTTTACAAATAAATTCCATTTTAATTTTTTATTCACATAATGAATTTTTATTCACACCAAAAAATAGAAGATTTACTGTTATGCAATACTGCAATAATTGTATAAATATCATCACCATATTTGTGAATGCATATTTGACCCACCAGCTGGCGTGTATTAGACGTGTGAGGTCGTTTGTTTACTCTTGAATATCGGCAAAAATTTAACATTTCTGCTACTTTGAGCTCAGTTTCAAGCCATTTCCAATGCTAAAACCAATCAAAATCATCTCTATTTCTGTAATGTGTCTTCCATTCTATCAAATGAGACCAAGAAATCGCAAATACAACTATAAAAAACATACGAAAAAACACTGCAAAGTCGCTGTTTTAATCGAAAAATCATGATTTCAGTTTTTTTCTCTCATTATACACAGTGTGCTGCAGGATCTGTTTTATGTGGTGCACACATACCACATAGATGTATTCTTTCATATCTAGGCCCAAATGTACCACTCACAGTTTATCAGAGTGAGCTGAGCTCATGACGTAGATCTACGGTTTGGACCCTGAACGTAAAGCCGTAGATCTACGGGACGGACCCTGAAAGGGTTAATGCTTAGCTATGATTATAATAATTGTTGTTGTGGAAACTTGTGAAGGCTTCTTTGATAGGTGGTTACTGCCTGTGTAATTTAACTGGTTTGATAATTTTACCCTTACAAGTCTCCTTGTAAAGCTTTCTTCCAGATAAATAAATAAAAAAAAAAGGACCATCTGCTCCCTTCAAGGCAGGCAAAATTGCTGACTTGGAGAGTGTACAAATGCAGGTGAGAAAGATACATAATAACATACTTGGAAAATCCCAGAAGGATTAGTACCAAACTTGCACACGAAGATTGAAAAATCACTCCTTACGAAAGCAAAAGACTCAGTAGGAGATGCAACATTCCCCCAATGAAAAACGGGTGCCACGAGTACACAGAAACAACACAGTAAGTGTCAGGGGCCCAAGACTGTTCAACTGCCTCCCAGCATACATAAGGGGGATTACCAATAGACCCCTGGCTGTCTTCAAGACGGCCCTGGACAGGCACCTAAAGTCAGTACCTGTCCAGCCAGACTGTGGTTCTTACGTCAGTTTGCTTGCGGCCAGCAGTAACTGCCTGGTTGATCAGACCCTGATCCACTATGAGGCCTGGTCTCAGACCAGGGCACAGAGGCATTGACCCCCAAAATCCTCTCCAGGTATACTCCAGGTAACAGGACTATAGTCAATCATCTGGAAAGGACTTACTGGTACTTAAGATAAGAAGTCTGTAGCAAAGTTCTTCACAGCTAGCTACCTCTTAACTGTATGTTCCAGTCTAGGAGCAAACCCCTGTGCTGCAACATGACTTGATTACCTATAAATAATGATAAACTTGAGAAATCAGTAACCTAAAAGCAAAGTTGATATCTTTTTCCTAATACAAGCACAGTATGGTCTCCAGGTACAAAGTAATAAACAATAAGGAGTTTTTATGCAGATAGAGAGAGGGGCTCAGGTTAGGGTGTTCAGTTAAGAGGAGAGGATTATTTTTCAGTAAAAGTAGGCCTCACACAGGAATATGTGATGTGATCATGGTTAACATATCTATAGATGGAGTTTTAAAAGTAGTAAATGCTAGGGTACTAGGAAGAGGTGTGGGATTGAAAGATGATTTTTTGATTGAAAGTGGGAGATGTCATAGATGCTCTTTGCTGATGACATGGTTTTCTTCGGAGGTTCTGTAGAGATGATGTTGCCCCTCAAGGAAGGTTCCTTGTTGCTGGTGAGGGGCTCTTGATCTAGGGAATTAGATCTGTTCTCCAGTTTCCTGAATTAAGCCTGAATACCTTCCACATCCCCCCACAGGCGGTGTATAATCCTATGGGTTTAGAGCTTCCCCTTTGATTATATTAACCCGTAAACGGTCCAAGCAGATCTACATTCACATGCATAGTGCTCCAAAAGTAGATATACTTTTTTTTTACATATTTTCAAATATAACAAAAAAAAAACGTAGATCAAAGTTTTTTTACATGTTTTCAAATTAAAAAAAAAAAATGATGATCTACATTTTTTACATACTATCAAATGTTGAAAAAACATATATATACGTTTGGACCATTTACGGGTTAATAGAGATGTTGCAAGGATTGGTGGAGGAATTTGGAGGGTATGTTAAAGAAGAATATAGACATGAACATAGGAAAGATGATGAGAGCAACAAAAAAATTTATGCTCCAAAAATTAAATAAAAGATTATTATAGATATTCTACCTGCCCCCTCTGGTAACTCTGACCCCTATATAACTTGGACCATGGAACTGGCTTCTCTCACTTTACAAAAACAATTCAGGGATTATCTGTGCACCAAAATATATAGTGGCTCAAAGCCATCTGCTTAGACAACAATGGACAAGTGATGCTGGCATTGTAGAACAGTGGAGTGAGTGAAGAAAATGTAACCTAGAAATTTCTCTGATGTACCTATTTAAGTTTTCCAAACACAAGAGTGGACAAGATTTCTTCACTGCAAACAATAAATCCCAAAGCATACTTGAATGGGCACATGCTTGCACAAGAGCTCATGACCCATATAAGCCAAGACATCAACTTCCATCCTCTAAAGTGTGTTGCACAGAGTGATGTTGATCAAGCTGATAAATTAATGTATTTCTACACCATTGGCAGAACCCCACTGGCTGTACACCAACACTACGCCCTGAATTCATGGTAAGAAACTATCATCATACACAGTCACATAACAGGATTACACAAACTGCTTTGGACTTTGCTCACAGAGACAACACCTGACTATCATATCTAAACTGATGTGGAATGGTCATGAACCTTCCTCCTCAGTATACATTGGTCAATGTTTGCTGGTAAGAGCTCAAATCAAGGCCACAGTAGTGGGGCAAATGTTGGTGCTACAGCCACCTGGCAAAATACTGTACTGCAGGTCACAGGAAATTGTCCAGTCTTTGGAGAAATAGATCATAACTCAAGTTGTGACAACCCCGTTTTCCCTCCTGCAGGAAAGCAAGATCTGAGTTTTAAAGAGTGTCGTATAACCAGACTGCTACCCAACTCTTCTCACAGGAGAGAATACTTCATACCCAACAATCTTTCTCCCATCCACCCCAGTGCTGTAAGACTATACTCATTCCTGTGTTCAACTCTATGTAGTTTTCAGAGCTTATGCTCTCAGATCTTCACTCTCTGTTGAACTATATGACCAATACAGGTCTGTCTTGTGTCTGTGAATAAACAGTTAAAACCATCTCACTTGGTAAAGCAACGACTTTATGACATTTGTTCAACAGATGCAACAAACTCATAAATTCACCTGGGAAATGGATGGACTCTCCCCAGTTGAAATAGCTCCAACTTGCTGGTCAGGCGACAACTTATCCTCTATCCGAAAAGGATATGGATAGTGAACAAGGTCAGCAAAGGTTGTGTTTGTTCTGAGGTAGACACTATGACATAAGAACATAAGAAAGAAGGAACACTGAAGCAAGTCTACTGGCCCATGTGAGGAAGGTCCACTACACCTACCAGCTGAAGCCACTGACGAAAATTAGTCAGGTCAGGTCAGGTCACACCCACTCATGTATTTATGTAATCTATTTTTAAAACTACACAAGATTTTAGCTTCTATGACAGTACTCGAGTTTGTTCTACTTGTCCACAACTCTAATACCAAACCAGTGCTTTCCTATATCCTTCCTGAATCTAAATTTTTCCAACTTGAAGCCATTGCTGTGAGTCCTATCTTGGCTAGATATTTTTAGCACATTATTTACATTCCCTTTATTTATTCCTGTTTTCCATTTATACACTTCAATCATATTTTAGCAAGGTATTAGTAAGGAAGAAATGGATCTTTTTATCTTTTACAGCATATAAAGATAGCTTGACATACAAACCTTACAGAAATCACTGTCAACGAGGAAGTTATCACCAGCTGGAACACGAGGGACAACAGCAGACACTCTAGCGAGTGCACTACCCACGACAGAAACATCTTTCTGGAGCGTCCTGTGACATCAAGAGATGGTACGACTTGTTTCAAGTAGTCGTTTTCCAACAAGGAGTCTCCTGTGGAGAAATGGCTACATGGACGAGTAGCCAACGCATGGATAGTCTCGGTACCCAAGGTCATTTGAGGTTCCTCTGACATCTGAGGCAACTGCACACTATCCTGTGTGCATGAAAAGAACCTGGCAACACTTGTAGAAAATTTTTATATAGTTTTCCTAAATGTAAAACATATAAATGAATAATACAATAATTGTGTATTAAATTATTATTATAATAAAAAAGAAGCGCTAAGCCACAAGGGCTATACAGCATTGCTTATTAAAATATGGTGCTATTTAACCCTTTCGAGAAATTTCAAGTGGGGGGGGAGGTAGAACAGCAGCAGAGGGATGCGGAGGAGAGACTCCATAGTGAATTTAACATGTGAACACTGAGCTGAATCATACAATGTAATCAGGCATTCTTGAAGGTCAATTAAAAGATAAATGATAAAGATAAAGATTTATTTCTTTGTTAAGGTTACAATGTGTAATTACAGTTTTGGTTTGCTAAGTGCAAAGAACGCCACTATCATGCTGGGGCATTTTGGCCTCATTTCCTAATTTAAAAATTGCTGACACATTCCTGCTAAAGAATTGGGACAAATATTGTGGAAAACCCTTACAATTTGGCAACAAGGATTGTACGAAAATTATATTTATTATTACGTGCATATAACCTGCAAGAGGCTTACAGGGCATTACCTGAATTATTACCTGCAAGTAATTTGGTTGAGGTAAGTGAGACTTAGTCACAGTAGGTTACTAAACTGCAACTCCTTCAACTGCCCTCTTCTTCCCCACTCTCATAAAAAGCTAGACCTGACATTAAATTAATACTTACAATATTAAAGCCAGCTACTCTGGTAAATTAAAGTTGTGTGGACTGTATACGATTAGGCTTGCTGGGTACAGAATATTCACATTAACACTTGTCATTTAATTATTGAAGATGGATTACGGAGTGCCGATGGAACACACCCTAACACTACCCTAGCAAATAGGATTTATGATGGCCAACAAAACCTACTGTACATAATGGGTAAGTGCCACTTAGCTAAGGTGTGTTGTTGTGAAGAATTCATTGAAGTCCAATGGTTTTCTGTTCTCCACATGCAATTCTTGAGGGCCCATAAATTTCCTGTCCCAATTCTTCAGCAGGGGATGTTAACAGGGGTTCCTATTACAAATTCAGGCTGAAACACCCCAAATTGGCCTTGGAAGACACTGAATTATTAGCAGCCATCAGTCCAGTGCTCACACATTAAATTCAATATGGCGTTCCTTTGGCGTCACTCTCCGGCTCTTCCACATCCACCTTCACTTATAATTTCTTGAAGGGTCAAATCAGCATCACATTTTATCATACAATTATTGTATTATTCAAATTTACACATGCTGAATTTAGGAAAATCCAAAATTTTCCAGATGGAAAAATAGAGGACTCCAATCCTTCCCAGCAACACACCTTATCTAAGTGAGGCTTATGCATAATGTACAGTAGTTTTTGCATTGGCCATCGTAAATTCTAGTTGTAGTGGTAGTGATAGGATGTATTCCATCAGCATTGTGTTCCTGTGATAAATGGTAAGTTAATGTGTATAAAATTTATTGTTCTAATGATATGATTAGGAGAAAACCTTCCCTAATCTCTGTAAAAATATTCCCATTAACCACATCTAACAGTCAGGTCCTAAAATCATATACAGTCCACATTAATTCATAATTTACTATTAGTGGTATTGTTTAATATTGTAATTAATTTAATGCTAGGTCTAGCTTTTTTTTTGCGAGTGATAGGGAATGGGCATCGAGGGAGTGACAGTTCGGCGACCTACCCTGAGTAAGTCCTATTTACTTGCAGGAAATAATTCAACACTTTCATCATTCAGTCCATGACTGTTTTGCCAGAGGTGTACCAGTACTAAAATTCAAAACTGTAGAGTAAATAGTACAGCAATAATAATCACCTTATGTCTCCTTCATTGCCTTCCAGCCAACACAATCCCCCTCCAACTGTCCTTCAACATTAACAACACTACCCCAAAATCTTTTACCTCGATAACTTGTAACAAACTATATATCTGAACAACTACCCAAGACTGACTACTACTACATCTGTCGCAATAATACACGCATCTCAATACTTCTTGTATCCTTCCAGCAAGTATAGATTTTTTTTATCCCTGGACATACGGACATTCAGGGCAAGGAACATTCGTTATTAACAAAATCACTAAGTGATAAACCTGAAAGGGTCATAAAGGTCATTGCTGTAGAGCTCAGTCCGCTATTAATAATCTGACAATCTTCCACAAGGATGCCTCCATTTTCAAATTATTTTCTAACAAGAAGTGCCTTGACGCTGTTGAGGGGCTCTTGATCTAGGTTACTGGATCTGTGCTCCAGTTCCCTGAATTAAATCTAAACGCCTTCCATCCCTCCCCGGAAAGCGCTGTATAATCCCTAAGGTTTAGCGCTCCCTCATGATAAAAATAATTCTAGGGTTCTAGGGCCACTGTGGGGCGTCCTTGAAAAAGACGCTCCACAGGGGTCTCCAATTATTTTCTAGCTTTTGAAGACTGAAAATATTGGCAAGAGCAATGACCTTTATCAGAGGACAACAATTTTTTTGAAGTCCCACCTTTAATGCAGACTTGGATTTTATTAATGGAAAATAATCTATTACATGAATGATGACATTCATTTTACATTGTAACCCTTACAATCCAATTTACCATTGTGCTGTGTAACCTGCTCAAATGTAATAACAGAATATGAGAACATAACATTCACCTGTCAGGGCTTGAGTTCAAGTGAGCTTTATACAGTATTAATAGTTTATTCTCTATAAGGATTACAATGCTGAGTTTACAGAATTTGGTTATTGTGTGGTTTACATGTAGTAAAATAATTACAGAGTGTACCACTAGAACACCTAGCATGGCTAGGCATTTCGGGCAGACTTAGATTAATTCTTAAATTTAAAATATTACAAATTATGAGGTAAGTTGGTATTATGACTAAGTGACTAAATACTAGTTTGTGAGTTTAGCAATGTGAATGCTTTTGTTTTGGCACAATACATAGTTTCAGTATTGGAGTATCACAGGCCAACTTATGACTAGTTAGGATTCATTATTTTAAGATTGAGATTGATATTTCTGTTTATGGTCAAATGGGTGAGTGTAAGTGTGAACCACCAGGTGGTATTCGTGTAATTAGTTGACGGGGTGTATCAGGGAGATAAGATGTTTTCTAATGGTAGTTTTGAAGGTGATGAATGTGTCTGCAGTTCTAGAGTTTTCAGGTAGGGTGTTCCAGATTTTAGGGCCTTTGACATGCATTGAATTTTTGTAAAGGTTTAGTCGGACACGGGGAATATCATAGAGATGTTTGTGTCTGGTGTTATGCCTGTGGGTTCTGTCACAACTATCAAGAAAGCGTTTTAGGTCAAGGTTAATATTGGAATTTAAGTTCTGTAGATGTAGATTGCACAGTAGTAAGTGTGGATGTACTGAACAGGGAATAAGTTTAGGTCTATGAAGAGTGGGAGGGGTGTGTTGCCAGGGATGGGATTTAGTGATTATTCTTACTGTGGCTTTTTGTTGGGTTATTATTGGCTTTAGGTGTGTTGCTGCAGTTGATCCCCAAGCACAAATAGCATAGGTGAGGTATGGATAAATAAGTGAGTGGTATAGTGTGAGAAGGGCATTTGGCGGCACGTAGTATCGTATCTTGGAGAGGATCCCAACCATTTTGGATACTTTTTTGGTTATGTGTTGGATATGGGTGCTGAAATTCAGGTTGTCGAGGTATAGGCCTAGGAATTTGCCCTCATTATGTCTGGCAATTAGAGTGTTGTTGATCCTAATGTTAATTTGCGCAACTCCTGCTCTGCTACCAAACATAATATAGTAGGTTTTGTCAGTGTTAAGCTTAAGTTTATTGGCTGTCATCCAAGTCGATATTTTGATCAGCTCCTCGTTAACAATGGTGTTGAGGGTGGCAAGATTAGGGTGAGAGATGACATAAGTCATGTCGTCAGCAAAGAGAATGGGGTTCAGGTGTTGGGATACGTTTGGAAGATCATTGATGTATATGAGGAAGAGCAGGGGACACTTCCCTGGGGAACTCCAGTATGAAGTGGCCGTGTTGTTGATGCTGTGTCTTTAATGGTGACATACTGATACCTATTAGTAAGGCAAGATTTGAAATATGCAAGCGCATGGCCTCTTATACCGTAATGGTCAAATTTATGGAGTAGGATGCCGTGGTCTACTGAGTCAAAAGCTTTCCTTAAGTCAATAAAAATTCCAGTGGATATTCCTTATTTTCCAATGCTGTGTAAAGCAGATCTAGCATTTTTATGATTGCATCATTAGTGCTTTTATTTTTCCTGAATCCAAATTGGCAGGGGTTGAGTATGTTTTGTGCCGTCATAAATGAATATAGTCTCCTGTGCACGAGTTTCTCAAAGATTTTGGATAGCAATGGTAAGTTTGATATTGGCCTACAGTTGTTTAAATCTGTAGGGTCACCACCTTTATGTATTGGTGTAACCCTTGCCGTCTTGAGTAGTTTCGGGAAGGCACTAGTTTCTATTGACTTGTTAAAAAGTAATGAAATAGCATGTGAAAGGACATGGGCCGCTCGCTTGTACAATAATGGTGGGACATGAGACAGATTCCCCGAGTTATTTTTAAGTGACTTTATAATCTCGGTGACTTCCGTGGGCTCAGTTTGTGCAAGATAGAAGGAATTTGGGAAATTCCCATCTAGGTAGTCCCCGGCATGGGCATTCGCATGTGGGATTTTATTGGCAAGATTAGATCCTATGGTTGAGAAGTTGTTTATCTTGTTAGCTGTGTCAGTGGGATGCAGTGGTGTTTCATTAGGTTTAGTTAGGACAATATTCTTGTTTTTTTTTCAGTTTGTGGGTCTCTAGAATCTGAGTGTGTTTTCCAGGTCTTTTTTATATCTTCTCTTGTGTCAGTGAATCTACTGGAGTAGTATAGTTGTTTGGCTTTCTTTATTACTTTGGTGAGAACTGATGAATAGTGTTTAAGAATATCTTTGTGTATTAAGCCCTGTCTATATTGCTTTTCATATTGGTGTTTCTTATCAATGGATTTCAGAATGGTGCTGGTTAGCCATGGGCAACCAAGCCGTTTGTTTGTGATCTGTTTCGTTTTTATAGGACAATGTTTGTTGTATAGTCTAAGTAATTTGTTAAGAAAAATGTCTGTCCAGTCATCAATACCATTGGCCTTGGAGAAATCTGTAGGCCAGTCAACAGTCTCTAGGTCTGCTGTGAACTTCCTTATTGAGGCCTCGTCATGGAGTCTAAATGAAACTTTGTTGTATTCAAGTGGTGGTTTACTAATGCTTGTCAAGAGGAAGGTAGGGTAGTGGTCTGTAGTGCTATCTGTGATTATCCCTGATTTAAGGGGGGCTAGTATATTGGTCCATATGTGGTCTATTATGGTTGCACTTGTCTCAGTAAGCCTGGTTGGTTTAGTTATTGTTGGTATGAGAAGTGTGTTGTTCATATTGTTGATGAAATCAGTTACAGGCTGATCATCTAGTAGGCCAAGGTTGATGTTGAAGTCTCCAGCTAAGAGAAGGTGGTGCTTATTCCTTTGTCTGTTTGTTGTTAGTGCCTTTAATTTCTCACTGAAATTTGGGATGTTTGTGTGGGGTATCCGGTAAATGGCACCGATTGTTATAGGCGTCTTAAGGTTTTTTACAGTAAAATTAGCAAAAATGTATTCCCCATATTCATCACTAAAGCAAGTGGTGCTAATACAAGATAATTGGTAGAGTAATAGATTGCAATACCACCCCCAACTTGGTATGGTCTGCAGTTGTGGATTGCTGTGTATCCTGGTAGAAGGTAGATATCTATTGTGTCCTGCTTAAGCCAGGTCTCAGTAAGAATAATGCAGGAGAAGGGTGTCTTTAGTGATTCAAGGAGTGCCAGGTCATCATAGTGTTTGCTTAAGGACCTGATGTTGTAGTTAAGTACTGATAGACTTTTAGCATTGTTTAGGATAGTGCTGGCTTGTGATGCTGTGTAATATAAGCTGTATGACCCTTGTAGGTTTAGCGTTTCTTTTGATTATAATATAAAGTATATAAAAGAAGACTAGATCATTAACCCGGAGAGTCAATCCTTGCATGTTACCTGCAGCAGTAGTTGAATATGAAGGGTTGCCTGCAGCAGTAGTTGAATATGATGGGTTGCCTGCAGCAGTAGTTGAATATGATGGGCTGCCTACAGCAGTAGTTGAATATGATGGGTTGCCTGCAGCAGTAGTTGAATATGATGGGTTGCCTGCAGCAGTAGTTGAATATGATGGGTTGCCTGCAGCAGTAGTTGAATATGATGGGTTGCCTGCAGCAGCAGTTGAATATGATGGGTTGCCTGCAGCAGTAGTTGAATATGATGGGTTGCCTGCAGCAGTAGCTGAATATGATGGATTGCCTGCAGCAGTAGTTGAATATGATGGGTTGCCTGCAGCAGCAGTTACATATGATGGGTTGCCTGCAGCAGTAGTTGAATATGATGGGTTGCCTGCAGCAGCAGTTGAATATGATGGGTTGCCTGCAGCAGCAGTTGAATATGATGGGTTGCCTGCAGCAGTAGTTGAATATGATGGGTTACCTGCAGCAGTAGCTGAATATGATGGGTTGCCTGCAGCAGTAGCTGAATATGATGGGTTGCCTGCAGCAGCAGTTGAATATGATGGGTTGCCTGCAGCAGTAGCTGAATATGATGGGTTGCCTGCAGCAGCAGTTGAATATGATGGGTTGCCTGCAGCAGTAGTTGAATATGATGGGTTGCCTGCAGCAGCAGTTGAATATGATGGGTTGCCTGCAGCAGCAGTTGAATATGATGGGTTGCCTGCAGCAGTAGCTGAATATGATGGGTTGCCTGCAGCAGCAGTTGAATATGATGGGTTGCCTGCAGCAGTAGCTGAATATGATGGGTTGCCTGCAGCAGCAGTTGAATATGATGGGTTGCCTGCAGCAGCAGTTGAATATGATGGGTTGCCTGCAGCAGTAGCTGAATATGATGGGTTGCCTGCAGCAGCAGTTGAATATGATGGGTTGCCTGCAGCAGCAGTTGAATATGATGGGTTGCCTGCAGCAGTAGTTGGATTGCCTGTAGAAACAGATGAGTTGTGGAAAAAGAACTAAAAGCCATAAATGAAATCGAAAAAAACCCAAAGTATTTCTTCTCCTATGCCAAATCAAAATCGAGAACAACGTCCAGTATTGGGCCCCTACTTAAACAAGATGGGTCCTACACAGATGACAGCAAGGAAATGAGAGAGCTACTCAAGTCCCAATATGACTCAGTTTTTAGCAAGCCGCTAACCAGACTGAGAGTCGAAGATCAAAATGAATTTTTTATGAGAGAGCCACAAAATTTGATTAACACAAGCCTATCCGATGTTATCCTGACGCCAAATGACTTCGAACAGGCGATAAATGACATGCCCATGCACTCTGCCCCAGGGCCAGACTCATGGAACTCCGTGTTCATCAAGAGCTGCAAGAAGCCCCTATCACGAGCCTTTTCCATCCTATGGAGAGGGAGCATGGACACGGGGTCGTCCCACAGTTACTAAAAACAACAGACATAGCCCCACTCCACAAAGGGGGCAGTAAAGCAACAGCAAAGAACTACAGACCAATAGCACTAACATCCCATATCATAAAAATCTTTGAAAGTGTCCTAAGAAGCAAGATCACCACCCATCTAGAAACCCATCAGTTACACAACCCAGGGCAACATGGGTTTAGAACAGGTCGCTCCTGTCTGTCTCAACTATTGGATCACTACGACAAGGTCCTAAATGCGCTAGAAGACAAAAAGAATGCAGATGTAATATATACAGACTTTGCAAAAGCCTTCGACAAGTGTGACCATGGCGTAATAGCGCACAAAATGCGTGCTAAAGGAATAACAGGAAAAGTCGGTCGATGGATCTATAATTTCCTCACTAACAGAACACAGAGAGTAGTCGTCAACAGAGTAAAGTCCGAGGCAGCTACGGTGAAAAGCTCTTTTCCCACAAGGTACAGTACTCGCTCCCATCTTGTTCCTCATCCTCATATCCGACATAGACAAGGATGTCAGCCACAGCACCGTGTCTTCCTTTGCAGATGACACCCGAATCTGCATGACAGTGTCTTCCATTGCAGACACTGCAAAGCTCCAGGCGGACATCAACCAAATCTTTCAGTGGGCTGCAGAAAACAATAAGAAGTTCAACGATGAGAAATTTCAATTACTCAGATATGGTAAACATGAGGAAATTAAATCTTCATCAGAGTACAAAACAAATTCTGGCCACAAAAAAGAGCGAAACACCAACGTCAAAGACCTGGGAGTGATCATGTCGGAGGATCTCACCTTCAAGGACCATAACATTGTATCAATCGCATCTGCTAGAAAAATGACAGGATGGATAATGAGAACCTTCAAAACTAGGGAGGCCAAGCCCATGATGACACTCTTCAGGTCACTTGTTCTATCTAGGCTGGAATATTGCTGCACACTAACAGCACCTTTCAAGGCAGGGGAAATTGCCGACCTAGAAAATGTACAGAGAACTTTCACGGCGCGCATAACGGAGATAAAACACCTCAATTATTGGGAGCGCTTGAGGTTCCTAAACCTGTATTCCCTGGAACGCAGGAGGGAGAGATACATGATTATATACACCTGGAAAATCCTAGAGGGACTAGTACCGAACTTGCACACGAAAATCACTCACTACGAAAGCAAAAGACTTGGCAGACGATGCACCATCCCCCCAATGAAAAGCAGGGGTGTCACTAGCACGTTAAGAGACCATACAATAAGTGTCAGGGGCCCGAGACTGTTCAACTGCCTCCCAGCACACATAAGGGGGATTACCAACAGACCCCTGGCAGTCTTCAAGCTGGCACTGGACAAGCACCTAAAGGCAGTTCCGGATCAGCCGGGCTGTGGCTCGTACGTTGGTTTGCGTGCAGTCAGCAGCAACAGCCTGGTTGATCAGGCTCTGATCCACCAGGAGGCCTGGTCACAGACCCGGCCGCGGGGGCGTTGACCCCCGGAGCTCTCTCCAGGTAAACTCCAGGTATGTACAGTTCAGGACATTTATTAAAGGAAACGTTTCGCCACGAGTGGCTTCTTCAGTCCTAATACAGAGAAAACTAAGAAAACATATATATATATATATATATATATATATATATATATTATATATAATATTATATATATATATATAGTGACAGGAGTCAGGTGAGGTGACGCGTGGGTAGAGGTGGTGTGGTAGTAGTAGTAGTAGTAGTAGTAGTAGTGAGTAGAGTAGTAGTGTAGTAGTATGGTAGTAGTAGTAGTGGTTAGTATAGAAGTAGTGGTAGTATAGTAGTAGTAGTGGTAGGCAAATTTTGGGGTTGTCATTTATTGAGGCCCCCCCCCTTTTTTTGAATAAAAAGGGGTTAAACGGGTTAAAATAATGGCCCAAGGGAAAACCAGCGATTTAAATATGTGGGGTTCCTCCAAGGAATAAGGGGTTTGCAGCTTGAATATGAGGTGTGAATGAGAACCTTAAAAGGGGCCGCTGCAGATATTAATGAGGGGTTCTCAAGCAGTGAAAAAAAAAGGGGCCCTTGCAGCAGATTTAAAATTTTGGGGCCTGAAAGTACGAAATTGTCCCGGCAGGGGAAAAAAAAACCTACAATTTTGGGGAGATGGGTTCCTAAATCTGAATGTGGATGCGGAGGGTGTTGATATATAGGGTGCCTGCAGCAGCGGGAATTGATGGGTTGCCTGCGCAGTATTGAATATGATGGGTTGCCTGCAGCAGAGCTGATATGATGGATTGCTGCACAGTAGTTGAATATGATGGGTTCCATAGTTGAATATGATGGGTGCCTGCAGCTAGAAATTAGGGATTGCCAGCGGGGTTTAATGTGGTTGCCTGAGCAGCAGTTAAAATAAGGGTTGCTGCAGCGTAGTTGAATAGTGGGTTGCTGCATGCAGCAGGTTGAATTAGGTTCTGACGCAGTAGTTGAATATGAGCGGTTACCTGCAGGGTAGCTGAAGCATGGGTTACCTGCAGCAGTAGTGAATTGATGGGTTGCTGCAGCGCAGTTGATATGATGGGTTGCCCACAGTGGGTCTGAATTTTATGGGTTCTGCAGCAGCAGATTATATGATGGGTTGCCTGCAGCAGTATGTTGAATATATAGTTTTGCAGCAAGTTGAATATGATAGGTTGCCTGCAGCAGCAGTTGAATAGTGGGGTGGATGAGTAGTATTGGATTGCTGTAGAAAGTGTGAGTGTGGAAAAGGTTATGATACAGTGTCAGGACATTTATTAAGGAACGTTCGCCACGAGTGGCTTCTTGTCCTATTACAGGAAATAAGAAAATTATTATATATATTTATATATATATATATATATATATATATTAATATTATATTATATATATATATAGTGGCAGGGTGAGTGGGCGTGGGTAGGTGTGGTAGTAGTAGTAGTTGTAGTAGTAGTAGTAGTAAAGACTAAGGTGGTGAAGGCAAGAAGGGGAGGAAGGGCCTCGGCTCAATAACACCAGTTCCAGGAGGGTTAATATCCTCTTGCTTAGTATTTTAAATACTGTAACTACGGATTTTTGCTTTATAGTGTTACTGACAGAAATGAGTGCAGCTTCAATGCATTTTCTCCGTCTTAAGTCGTCTTCTTTAATAACTAGTTTAGCTTCATTGAATTTAATGAAGGTGTCCAACATCGGAGAAAAATGCATTGAAGCTGCACTAATTTCTGTCAGTAACACTATAAAGCAAAAATCCGGTAGTTACAGTATTTCAAAATTACTAAGCAAGAGGATATTACCCATCCTGGGAACTGGTGTTACTTGATGCCAGCAGGTCCCTCTCTTGCCTCACCTCCTTAGTTCCATTACTACTACTACTACTACTACTACTACTACTACTACCACCACCTCTACCCACGCGTCACCTCACCTGACTCCTGCCACTATATATATATATATGTTTTCTTAGTTTTCTCTGTATTAGGACTGAAGAAGCCACTCGTGGCGAAACGTTTCCTTTAATAAATGTCCTGAACTGTACATAAGTGTCTTTTTCCACATCTTGTCGGTATCACCATACCACTTTCCCCCTTCCCCCTAACAGTTGAGTTACTTGAAGCACCAGTTGGGATGCCTGGAAAAAAATAAATTGGATTACTTTCAGATATATTGTCCAATTCCCACGTAGTCAAAACGAGTATATTACTAAATAAATGTACGCCTTATTCCTTTTTCCAGTGAGGTTTTCAGTGTGTTAACTATGCTGACCTTAAAGGCAATGGAGGTTATATAATTATAATCAGGGAGCAGCGTTAAACCCTTAATGATTATACACTGCCTGGGGAATGAGAGGCAGTCTGATTTGAGCCAAAAATGATAGGTTTAATTTCTTGAATCAAATTCAAAAATATTATTTCCACATAATGCAATGTTTGTACAGAGATGGGTGGCATCTGTTGTGCTTGCATGAAAGCCTGGTCACAGACCGGGCCACGGGGGCGATGACCCCCGAAACCCTCCCCAGGTATCTCTAGGTATTGTATTTACGTGTAGTTGTGCCTGAATAAACTTACATATTTATGCAGAGCATTTCAGGCAAACTTAAGCTTAACTTAAAACTACAATGGCAATAATTATTTGCTTATATTTATGAACATTATTGGTATAAAAAAAGATAAATAGAACAAGCAGACAACTATTTCTTTAAAGTTGAATTATGATCACTAATGAGAATATGAATAGTTTTTTGCACATTTGTGGTTGAAAGAATTGTTAAACATATTTAACACAATGGCATCTAGGCACCTCCCTCAGGAAGTAGGTACCTGGGTGTTAGTCGGCTGGTGTGGGTGGCATCCTGGGGGACAAGACTGAGAGACCCTCAATGTAAATAAGACAGACAGTCCTATACGATGCACTAACTTTGTAGGGTTATCCTGGGTGGCTGACCTCCTGCGTAAAAATCCCAACAAAATCTTTTATCTTATCCCATGATCCAGCGCTGTATGACCCTTGTCGGTTTAGCGCTTTCTTTGATTATAATAATCCCATGGTCACACTCACAAG